TGCAAAAAAGGAGGTAGAATTTTTGAATATATGTAAGACGTAAAGAACAACTACAGAGACTTCAATGTGGATGTTATTTAAGGACTTCATACATATGAATTAGTCAACTACTGTTTTTCAGGCAGGATTTAATCTTAACATTTTGTACTACTACATGAGGTTTTATTTCTTTTTTCTCTGTAACGTTGTACATTTGTCTATAGTCCATAATGGTTTTTCATCTATTCACCAGTTCATCATTAATGCTAGATGCAGCATTTATTGCTTCTCTTCAGCAATTGGATTGAAATACTGGACATCAAGGAGAAAGATGAGGACTTGCTGATCATCTACCATCTGCTGCAATCTGTCTTATGTAGTTTTACCTATGCAACTTCAGTACAGACTGTTAACTAAACAAAGTATGTAAAACTGTATAGGATAAATTTTATATGTGGTATGAAAATGGCAGAGTTACCATTAAACTACTTAGACAAAATTATTCTGTTGGTTTTGTGTTGAGAAATAAAATCAAGTTTTCTGGTTGTATCTGTTTTTGTTTAAAGAGAAGTATTAATGAATTATGTATTTTTACTGCCTTTTTTAATACTTTTTTTTAAAATATGTATATATAAAACCAAGCAATTCTCTGGTTCTCTCTGTGTCAAGGGTCAGGAGTTGTTCATTCTGAGCCAAAGCTACCAGATGCTCTGCCGGATCACTGTGTGCAGCCTGTCTGGTGCATGGGAATTCCATGTGGTATATTTAGATTCTGCAGAATGTCAGCTTTCATTTTAAATTAAAAAACACCCACAACAACAAAACACAGGCTGTAGGCTTCGTGGTGATAAAGAGTGTTTCCAAATGCAAGCCAAAGATGGGCTTAAGAGAGTAGCTCTTGGAGGGTTGACCAACATCTGATTTCTCACTACCACCACCATTATCATGAGCACGGTAATTCTAAACCCAAATATTTCTTTTCACTGGAAGCTTTACTAATGAAGCGTGGATCATTCTAGCTGATGCAACAGTGAAGAGTTCTAGAATTATAAAAATTATCTATTGTGAGTTTTTATAAAAGTGTAATGCAAAAGAAAAACAGAAATACAATTGTGGAAAGAAAAAACAACACAAAAATGAGATCTAAGAAGGTAATGAAACAACAGTAGAAATAAAGAGCTGCAGCAACACTCCCACCTTAGCTTCCAGAATTTTTCACTTAGTATCTGGGAAAGAGCACCTGTCCATTATCTGCTACTCTATAAATAACTATATAAGTCAGATATGAGGGTAAAAACTAATATGAATCTATACTCTTAAGTAGAAGACCCAACTCTTAAGCAGATACTGATATTTTATGTTCATTTCTGTTTCGATTATTAAAGCAGTTCCTCCCAGAGCAAGATCTTTAAACTTCATTGTTTATTAAATAGTGCAAGTATTGCCCATGAAGATCAGCTGTAGCTTTCAAGAGTTTGCTATACTTCCCTGTGACTTATTTTTAAGTTATTGCAGACTTTTGCAGTGATATTCTGCTAAATAAACAATTGTACATCAGTATCCATCTTTCAAGAAATGCAGCAATTTGTAATGACCAAAAGGCAGCCCAGACTGATGAAGAAGATTGTGGGCTTTGTGTAAGAAATTCTATCACTCTGAATAAACAGTGTGTTGCTGCACTACAGGTAATGGCAGATGTTCCATCCTGGAAGGTCACAGGTAGACATTTTCATTCAGAAGGAGGAGAGACATTTCTGTTTACTTTAAAAACACCTCGAAAACTACTTAAGAATAGAGAATCCAGAATGACTAGCCCAGAACACTTCTGTGAGTATATTCACAGCCCTACTTGCAAACAGGCTGGGACACTCCAGAGAAGCAGAATCGCTAAATGCTTACAGGTTGTGCTTTTCAAGCTTTGAACAGCAGTGTTGCCTTCTGTACCTATGCAGAGGCCAAGAAAATTCTAAAAATAAACTTCTGTTTAAACGGGAGGAAAATCCTGACCACAAACTAGCAGTTTTTTACATTGTTAAAAATAACCCTGTATCTGAACCAAACACAAATACCCATCATGCCTGGTGGCAGCCCACCTGAATCAACACCTTTTATTTCGAGTTAAATTTTTAAACAGAACCCATTCACCAGAAAAAAGGTAGTACTTTACTTTGCCAGGAGATTTTATATGTAAGCATTTTTTGGTCACTGTTGCTGGCAGGGCTGTACTATTGTGCAGTATCAAATTGATAGGAAATTTGAACAAATGCATTAGATCTGACCTGTGGACCTACAGTTTGATGTCCATTTATGATGATTCTAGAGCACTTATCTTTCTCTTTTTCATAACGTAAATTAGGCACTTGGAAATCTCTTACACAATCTGAATAATTCAGTATGCTAAAGAATAACAGTATTTCTAAAGTGGAAAAATTCTGAGGATACTCATGTGGTTTCCATTACAGAGGAAAAAATATTCTTGTGCACATGCCCAGCATGATTATCTCTGGAAGCACCAAAGTGTGACGTGTACAAGAAAAGAGAATCAAAATTGCTTTGACAAAGTAACTTACTTCTTCAAATGCAGTTTATTTCCCATTTATAAATTCAGAAATTAAGATGAATAACATACAGAAGACAAAAATATTCTTCACTTTTCATAGGCAGTAGCTAACTGCTTTATGATCAGGAAACCCATTTGCCGATAGTTTTCTGTTTTACAAAAATTGGACTAAGGTGTGAAATTCTGAGTTCCCTTACCTCCTGTGTATTTCAAGGGGTGCTTACCACTCAGCCATGGCTTCCAGACTCTGCAGATAAAGCCTCAAGTAATTATATCAAATGCAGTCTCAATTAACTTGACCAAGTGTATACTTTAAAAGATTGAATATAAAAAGCTCATGCTTCCATTATTTTCACTAGCACTAGATGCCCAAGGAAAAAAGAATGTATGTATATAAATATATATATAAAAATGTAAATATACATATGAACTGTTAACATGAGTAAAGATTTTCAAATGTGTATTTCAAACACAGAACTGAAGGTATCTATCTTAGCCACTTTTGCCAGCATTCCCAATTAGGTAACTTCACCCAAACTTCCTGCATTTTCAGTGTGGAAAAATGTTTCTTTATTCCCTTTTTCTGGATATGTCTGGTTACTTTTAATGGCACAGTTTCTTGCTCATTTTATTCTCATTTTGTCTTTTATTTTCCTCTTGTTATTGAGAAAAATACCATTTATATTACTTAACAGTAACTGAATACTGCCAAAAACGAACCAGCAAGAAACCTTTTTTCCTTGTGGAACTGTGACCGCTATCCCACACAACGGAACAGCTAATAAACAAATTAATTTGCTTCCCAATTATGATAAAGATTGCCATTGGGAATATCTGCTAGAAAGGACACCCATATAGGGTGGCACATAGACTGGGTGTTTTCTTAAAGATCAGTTGTGAGGAACTGCTGTTAGCTGCTTAAAGCAAAGTCTCTGGGCACTCTGCCTGGAAAAGGGAAAATGATTGTCTAGTAAGTAAAAAGGGCATGGACTAGTGAATTCGTGTTGGGTTTCACCTAAGGTTGTTTGATAGAAGCTACCTGCTGTTGCCAGAATGTACAAAACCTAAATGATACGAGCAAAAAAGGGGAAGAAGTAGTCAAAATGTGGTTTTCTAAGGCTGAACCACAAAAGAATTTATATAACAGCAACTGAGTTCTTTCATAACTGCCAAGTATTGCTACAGTCATCAGTACAAAACCTTTAAAGAGCTTTTTTTCTGGAAGGTGTATGAATTGATCTGCTATGTTATGTAGCAATGCCTCACTAATAATAATTGCATGGTATATCTGAACCTTTTCTGAACCTTCTATTTATCTCCATGAACTGGAGAAATTTAATTAGTCCCTGCTAAAACAAAGAATTCAGACACTTCCTGCAAAAATATTACTTTGAAGAATGGATGAATAGTATAGTAATTGTCAACTAGCCCTATTCATACTTGAAGAAAGTTTCTGTGTATCAACATGAATTCCATGTGTCTCTCCTGATATGCAGACTGAATAGGTTATGAGTACTAAAAGAAGGAAACAAGTATTCCAGTATTTAAACCAATGTTCGACATATTTGTTTTGCAGCTATTTCACAATCTTAGCTTTTCAGAGAGGACCTCTTGAAGCTTTCTGGTTGCTAGACTTGGCATTTATGCAACAGTAGTATTTATTTCTGCTTTACTGAAGTTACAAAATGATGACCAAAATAACCTTCAGGAGCTCCAAAAGAATTTTCTGTCAACGCATTGTAATGTTTATAGATTACATAAATTTAAAGTAGTCAAACTGCTTGTTTTGGATAATAAGAGATTAAAATTAACTGCAAAAACAGGGGGTGTTGAAAAATAAAAGTCACTGGGTATCCTGGCAGAATGAAGAGTTACAATGATACAATTGTTAAGGACTGCTTTGGTTGGTGTAGCTTAACAACACATTTAGTAAACTGGCAGTACAAATGCCTTATTCCTGCCTGAGTGGGCAAGGAGTATTTTGTTCTTAGGAATATTATATTTTTAGGGAAGAGTAAGTGCACATTATTCTCAGGAAGAGATAAAGGAAACATGGAAGGGGAAGCTAAAGTTCACAGGAATTACTTTGCAGAGTGGCTCAAGAGCTGGCTTGAGATGCTGCAAGGGAGGCAATGCACTCTACATGATCCATAGGACTGCAGGCTCACCAGCCAGTCCCCAGTAACAGGTGCTTGCCAGAAGCCAGATGGGAAAATTATTCTGTTAACATGTTTACTTGGACGCTCCACATTCAGGCTCACACATTGGCAGTTTTCCTGATTGCCTTCTGCGTCTGCAGCTAGTCTCAACTTTGGGTACCTGCGTGTATTGCCTGCCTCTAACACGCAACTTGCAGCATGGTTGCGGCACATTTCCACGCTCTGGGGCAGAGCTCTAGGAAACTCCCGACTGTTGGCACCACGCTACC